ATTTAATTAACCAAAACCCAAATAAAGACATTGCAATAGATTTCAAAATCATTTGCGGTGAGGATACCATATTTTTGATGCTTATCTGCGCAATGGTACATGTGGGGGCATCGGCGGGTGTATAAATTAAAGTTACAGGACAAACATTAAGGAATTGAAGTCCAATATTTAAAGTCAATTTGAGAAGAGAACATATATAGATAAAGGTTATTTTGTGAAACAATGATGGTGAAATCTGAGGAAACAGGTGAGAAGACAGAGTTGAAGAAAGGCCCTTGGAGCAAAGAAGAAGATGAAATACTCATCAACTATATCAACAATAACGGTCATCTCAATTGGAGATCTCTCCCCAAGAAAGCTGGTAATTAACAATTACTTTCTTGTTAAGGAAAATGTACAAATGTATTCCTCTAGTATGAGTGTGAGAATATATTTCTGTTCTATTTTTCGGAACAAATTTATCCCTAAAGTATATATATTGAAGTGCATATATTCCCTTGAACTTTTAAAAAGTGAAAAAATATCTCTCATGCTTATATAAAGGAGCAAATTTACCCTTATTGAATTTGAATAGATAAAATAAATTTCAAACAACACCAGAAATAAATTCAAAATTTAAAATCTAAAAATAAAGATTTTGTATTATGTTAGAATATTAACTCTTTAATTTTGAATTGAAAAATGATTATTTTTCCGTTGTAAATGAAGCACTTAAAATTCATAAATATTAATTTAAATTAGTCTTGATGCAAATTTTTGAACACATTGTTACATTTTTTGAAATAACATTCTTTGATTTTGTTTAACCTTAATAAAATTAAATTCACTATTTTGTAATTTTGGGGTATTTATCATCATACAAAATATGTAATTTCATAGTGCGAAGAATGCAAAAAAATAATATTTTTTTTAAATTGCAACATATATATTAGCACTTTTTCGAAAGAATCTTAAATATAGTAAAGTTTTTAAAATAACATTTTATACTAAAAATATTCAATTGTGATATAAAAACAATAAAAGGGAGAATTGGACACAATTACATTTTTAATTTTTTTTAAATTTCGAATTTATAATTTATTTTTGGTTTTTATTTTAACTTTATTTTATTAATTTAAAGTCAATAAGAATAAATATGCTCCTTTATAAGAATATGATGGATTATTTTGCACCTTTTTAAAAGTTTAGGGGTATATATGAACTTTAACATATATGTGAGGCATATATTTGTTTCAAAAAATAGAACAAGAGTATATTTGTTCTCATACTCATACTACGTACATACATTTTCCGTTTTACCAAGAATATATTTGTTTCTTGTCAAATAGTTTTACCGTTTTACCATTCTCATCCCCTTGTATGGTTCTGGTGATACAAAGATTTGAAAACATGTCTTATGGTTAAGAAAAAGGCAACCGTTTGAGGTTATTTAAAAAAACTGTAACATTGGCATTGGTTTCAGTATTGGTAGCAAAAATCAAGTGATATTTATTTGATCTAAATCAAGTCTTATAGCACTCGGTTTAGTTTATTGGACTAGGAGTACAAAATATACTACCTCCATTCCCAACAACTTAATTATGTTTAGTTTTTTGTATACTCACTCGATCACTCCATTCCTAAGAGCTTTAATCAATCATATACGATAGTATTATATTTGTATACGATCTTATTTACTCCGTATAATATAAAATTGTCCTTTATTAAAATATACTACAAATTAATTTTCACAAAAATTTGCATGTTTCACAAAAATATACCCCGTATTAAGTAAAACCATTGGTCTTAAATACTACTCCGTATGTATTAAACGAATATTATACAAATGAATGTATTATAATTTTTTTTAAATATTGTTAAATTTCACTAATTTTAAATTTTCAAAATCTGTTTTTCTAATTTTTTTATTGAAGAAAGAAATATAGTAATGATCAAATTTGTGTATTGCCAAATGTGAAAATTGGACACGCACTTTTAAAAAAAGTGAGTACTTTTAAAAAGGGAAAGTTCCCGAAATAGGACTAAAACAGTTTCAAAATTTCAAAATAGGATTGTCATGTTTTTATTCCTATAATAGGACTAATTACTGTCATGTTTAGAAAATATTATCATGTTTGAAGTCTGGTACTGCCAAAACATTGCAGTAAGTAGTCCTATTTTGGGAATAAAAACATGACAGTCATATTTTGGAATTTTCAAACTGTTTTAGTTCTATTTTGGGTAATATCTCTTTTAAAAAATGACAAAAAAGTGATTAATAAGGTCATATATATGGAATTGAAAAACATGAAGTCACTCCAAAAAAATTATGTCACTATGTTCGTTTTTCATGTCAGTGAGAGTGGTCACCGCCAAATCTTTTCACGCCAATTACACCGCCACCGCCACACCGCCACCGCCACAGTGACATCGTCATAGTGACGCCGTCACAATGACATCCACAACCTCCTGCCATTGATTACCGCAGTGACGACGCCACCGCACAGTGACATCACTGGCGCCAGATGTACTGAACTCCGCCCTGCCTCTTCCGGCAACTCCCGCCGCACAACCATTGCCCTCCCCAGCCCCCCTCACAAACCCCAGCCCAGCCCCGATGCAATGCTTCCCCTGTCCCAACCCGACCACCACCCTCCCCGACTCCCCCTCCCAGCCTGGTTAACAAGACCACACCCTGCTCCTGCAGCAACGACATCCCACCGCCACACCACACCCCTACGCCAGCCGCACCCCTCCACTGCATTCCGCCCCCAATCCACCGCACACCATGTACTGCCGCAGTCCCAGTCGCAGACCTTGTCCCGACCCCTCCCCTGCCCCAGGCCCATGCCAGTACTTCGCAACCAGTCTCAGATCCGGTCACGGCTAGCCTCGTCCATCGCTCACCGGCGCTTATAGAATTCAGTAGAATTCACCGTCGCTCGCCATAGTGAGAAGGAACTCTGGTGTGTTTGCCAGATTCATTACAAAACCTGTTCAAATAGGAGAAGAATGGGAATAAAAATCGTGACGGGGACGACGACTTACCTGGGTGAAATCATGGATTGCGCTAGCTGGGATGGGGGTTGCGGCAAGATTTGGAGGACGTGTGTCGGCTTTGGCTATTGTCCGGCGGAGCAATTAGCTGGCAAGAGGGAAGCAACGAATTTGTCTTGCGGAATGAAGGAACGAAATGTTTGGCAACGAAGGGGTACAGTAATGGTTGAGTCACGGGGAAATTGAAAAAAGGTATTTTAGGAATTCAAAAGCCTATTTAGTATTATAGGGGTCATTAATTCTATAAAAGATGATCTAACCCCAAGGATCCTCAAGAGATGAATTCTACCTGATATGCCCATATTAATATATACTAGTAAATTGATATGGGCGTTCCACGGATGGACAATGAAGATATTAGTGGATTTGGTAACTCTTGTCTAGTTGTCTTCAATTTATCAATCTTACTAGCTATTTTTCTTATAAAATAAGTCAACTTTGATGTCATGTGAATGATGTAATAATCAAAATAAGGTTGAGTAACTTTTTCGATTGATTTGACTGAATTTGCGTAAGATGACTATATTAGCTATATTTCATATAATTTGTTCTTTAACTTATTGACATATTTTCATAATTCAAGATATTCAAGCAATTCATCTGTTTTGGTTAGTATTTTATCATTTTCAATTGATTCAACCAATTCCAGTTTACTAAACACTCTATTATGTTTACGAAAGCAATTCATTTCATGAGTAATGTTAATATACGTACTTAATGAATAAAAATTGAAACACGATATAGAATTGCAATCCCTCTGTTGCTCAAAACTTTGCCAAGTTTGATCGGCACAGGAAATGATAAGAGGAGTAAATTGTGTGGTTATTAAAACTTGGAGGGTTCCATTCTAAAATGTCAACTTGATAAGAGGAGTAACCTAAAATGTTATATAATTTTTTATTATTTCATACCACTACGGTGTGACACATTTACTTTAACACGCTACAATTTTTTATTATTTCATATTATTTTTTACTTGGACTGTAATTCCTCCCAGACCAGACCAGATCAGACCAGACCAGACCAGACTTGGATAGTTATAAAATTACAAAGAAACCAGACCAGACCAGTTCAGACCAGACCAGACCAGCAAATTACAATCCATGTAAAAACATCCTAAGACCTGAATGTGTATTCTAAAATGTCAACATGATCGTAGGAGTAGCCAAGATCTTAATATAACACTTTATTACTTCATATTTTACTAGTGTGGGATTTCAACACCACTCCCTAGCCCAAATCGAGCCAGACAATATTGGGGTGTATAAATGGGTCAAACAAACCTTTAACAAAATATTTTTAATCATGAGTGCTAGACAACAATCGAACGACCACCCGACCGACTATAATATAATGTTAAGATTCCGGATTTCATCCTAAAATGTTAACCTGATATGAGGATTATTGATCTCTTCATCAACATGTTTCAATTGATCTGTGATACCGAATCTTAGCGGGTTTGTATTGATTTCTTCATCAATCATGATCCTCATATTCTTTTGAACCAATGTTGAGGTGGATCGCCCCCGTCCAGAATCACTGCCATCCCGAAAATATGAAATTACATAGATTGCTTTCATTTAGGCGACACGTTAAACCAGAACAAATTCTACATTTGATTACTTACCAGTGGATGGTAAAACCGGGAAGTTTAATAGCTCATTTGATAATTATTGTGATCGTAGAATGAACAGTCAATCTGCAGGTAGAGTCTACATTTTTGCGAGATTAGCGATTCAACATTTTTGTTTTGAATCATCCGTTTCTATGTCTCATCCTATTGTAACTTTGAGTTATATGATTGTAATTGTTCTTGTTACCTTTATTAATAATAATTTAGTGAAGTTGTTTTATTTAAAAACACAATCTGATGCTATGTAATACAGAGTATATTATGAGTGTCAGGTCTCTTACGGTGTGGAAAGAGTTGCAGGCTTCGATGGATGAATTATCTACGGCCTGACATTAGACGTGGGAACTTCACCTATGAAGAAGAGGCCACCATTATCAAGTTGCATCAAGCTTTAGGAAACAGGTCTAATTTCTTCTTGTTCATTCACTCTTCCAATCCTTTTTGCAATATAAGCTCGTTTTAATCTCCACATAGATAAAATAATTGTTTTCAATTAAAAATATTAAGGAGAAATTCCCAAAACAGGAGTAAAAAATGTTTCGGAATTCCAAAATATGTGTGTCATGTTTTTATTCTCTAAATAACTCCTATTTTGAAATTCCAGAACGTTTTTACTCATATTTAGGGTAATTTTCTTTTACAAATATTTATAATAATCTTCGCTCCAATAATATGTCCCTAAACATTTGGAGAATGTTTTAGACTGAGTTTTCATCATGTAGAAAATAATTTACTAATCTGCATTTGTGATACAAACTAAATGTGACTTCCTTTTTATGGAAAATGTGAAAGTTATATTAATTCAAATAAGAACTTTGCAGTACAATAGAAAAAACGTCAAATATAATTGCTCAGATATACCAAATAATCAGACAAAGGATCATCTAAAAAGAATAAATTGAATGGTCGTATACCATTCAAGATTTAGGATTTTAGATATTGCTCAACATAGGATCAAAACATATACAAAGTGTAAAAATAAGATTAAATATGTTTTATTCCCCAAATATGACTTATTTAGCTATTTTGAAAGAATATGTTGATTAATACTTCCCAAAATAGGAGTGAATGAGACATATTTAATTTTGGGAAAAAAATATGTTAATTCTGTTCTATTTATGAAATTTATCATTGTTTTAGTCGTATTTAGAAAATTTTCTCGTAGAATTTAAGTTCTCTCTAACCATATAGTGTCCCTCATACTTTTTAATCAAAGAAAATCAACTAATTTTATCAACTCGATGACAAAAACACCAACACAGAAGTTTTACACAAATTAAGAAAAAGTAAAAGATAATTAAAAAAGATAAACGGCTATATGCATGCTAGCCATCTCTGTCATTGATATCAAGTGCAGTTTTGGTAAGTATAGGTCCTTACCTTCTAATTGCATGTTTGGTACGACAATAAATAAGTTTTTTTTTTAAATAAAGATCTTTTCGAGAAGCTACTAACAAACAAAACTAAATCAAACAGTCAGCTTGTTGTAGCATTTTTTAAGTTTTTTTCCAGTAACTACCATTGATTAGAAAAGTTAAAGAAAGTTAACTAAAAAGGGACATGTTGTGAAGTACTAAAAATATATCTCAAAAGTATCTTTTCTGCTAGTTGTGTCAAACATAACTCCATCCAATAGACAAAGAGTAATCCAACCCAATCAAATATTCACTATAAATATATATAGGGAGCATATCGGGTAAGATTTGTGTGTTCGTCTGAAAACTGTGAAGTAATTTAAATGTTGTACAGAGTAAAAGTAATATATTTGACTTTGTAGGTTACATTTAACGAATTAATAATTAATTAAAAAAGTGACTTGAATGCATTTATGACTCACTAAAAATAAAAAACATAAGATATGAAGTTTTGTTTGTTGTTTAAACAACGAACATCACTTGATATCTTATGATAAATTGAGTAAGTATAAGACAAGTATTACACTACAATGAAAATTTTCATTGTAGTGTAATACTTGTCTTATACTTACTCAATTTATCATATGAAATTATACTTTTGATAAAAGTTATATGTGTGTGTGACATTAAAAGTTAAATTTAACGTACTAATGTATAGTTAATCAGAAAAGATGTGTGTGTGTGTCTTGAATGCATTAATGAGTCAAATATATAAAAATCATAGACTATCAAATACTACGAGTTGTTCTCATTGTAATTTCATACTTATCTCATACTTGCAGAGTTGATTACTATGATTATTTATTTATTTATTTAATATTTATTTAGGGGGTTTGAGCTATAAATAATAATAAGTCTACTCATGATTTCACTTATTGGTTATATTAGTTAAAACTTCACAATTTTTAGTCGAAGACACACTTCTCACGTGATCATATATTCTCTTTGTTTCATAAAATTCTTCCTCCTTATGGAGTACTATCTTGGGATGTTTAAAAAAATTCTTCTAATTCTACTTTTTGGAAAGTTTTGTGTGGTTAACATTAACTTACTCTTTTCTTACTAAATCACAATCGTACATTTTCACATTGTTCTCACTTTTTAAAACTCCAATCCAAGTCAAATCTGAAATAGTTTTATGGGACGGAGGGAGTATATGAATATACGTAGTATTATTTTACGCAGTAGTATATATATATACGTAGTATTATTTTACTTTGGGAAAGTGTCAAATAAGCTCTAGTACTATATTGAAAATGTCGATTAAGCCTTTGAACTAAAAAACACCCAATTAAATACTTGAACTTTGAAAAGACGACATTCAAATTAGCTTTATTATGAGGTAACCAATCGGTTATCAGGTAGATTTTCATGCATGGCAACACATGGTGACACATGTGTTACTTTATTCCTTTTCTACTTTTTCTCTACTTTCGTACTTTCCTTTTTTCTTCGTCGCTTCTCCATGGTTCGTCACTTCCCTTAAAGGAGTTGTCTTACGAAGTGTTGTCCAGCCTAGGGGAAGACGAACACAAATTTCTCGAGGCGTTGAATTGACGAAAATCTCAGAGCAGGCGCCGACTATGGAGGTTGTCGCAGGCATATATGTGGCCAAATGTGGGTGAGGTTGCCATCCTATGGTTTACATATGTCGCGAGATTACGCCGCCGGTGATATGAAAATCCATCGCTTCTTCGTAGCTCCACTGCAGACTCGCGCGAAGTGCTGAACCAGAGGTTTAAGTCGTTGCAGGTGTTGGATGTGTTTCGAAAAACAAAGAAATAAATAATAAAAATGAATTAATTAAAATGACTAAAGAAAAACATAAAATAGATGAAGCAGAATTTAGCCAAAGCTCGTGTTACGCACGATGTCCTTAAAACGTATTTGTTGCCTCCCGGGGTGTTAGGAGCGTTGCAACGATAGTTTCTCGGGATACGATGACTACGAACAATTGTTTGAGCACTCAAACAAATTGTTCCGGAGAACGTGAACAAGTATGAACACCAAGGAATTTTTCAGAGAAAGCTGGAGGGTTTTTAAGCTAGAGAAGTGTGCAGTTCGTGTATGAATTGTGTGCTTGTTGAAAACCACCTGCCAACCTTTATATAGGGAAGATTTGTTGTGTGTTAATTACGTTTTTAATGGACATTACCGTTGGACATCAATGTCCAGTACGTTGGCATTGAATCGTCCGTATCTGTCCATTTAATTGCATGAACGTTGGGCATTTATTGGCTTGAAACGGCAGCAGCAGGGTCGAGCAGCCACCTGTTGCGCGAGCCGCCTGCGCAGAGAGCAGCCGCCTGCTCGGAGAATAGCCACCTGCTCGGAGAGCAGCCACATGCTGAGCCGCTTTCTCGGAGAGAAGCCGCCTGCTGTGGGCATTTCAATGAATGAACTTCGAGAATCAATTTCTCATTCACCCGTTATCCGTTTTGAGTGTACCATATATTGAATTGTAGCCCTTAGCAAGGACAATCCGTAACCACTTTGACCCGACCCAAATCGGAAGTGGACCCCACTCAAATAAATGCTCCAAAATGACCATTTAATGCAATTTATTAACATATTTTCCAACAATCCTCCACATGAATGAAAAATGATTTTCGAGACTTAAAAAGGACACGAAGATAGGAGGACACGTTGTGTTCACCGGATGATCCCTGCATACGGAGAGGTAGGTTATATCCTTTGAACCTTCCGCTGTAAAGACACATGTATTTACTGGCTGTCTAGTAGACTCGATGTCGTTGAACTATACTGTCGTCGTGTAAACATTGACTTATCTTTACACAGAAACCTTTCAACTTTGTTCCCTTCTCATGAGTGTGCCCGTTTTGGCCATGGGTCACCGTCCTGGTTCTGCAAGAGTTTCTAAAGAACTGAGCCTATACAGTTCTCCTTTGAAGCGACCCTCTTCTCTCTCACATAGGTGATTCATTCACAAGTATCCCACATACTCTTTCAATGTTATCAAGTAGATCAACATTTCAGAATCATTAAAGCAAACGCTTTTGCTAACCTCGTGCGGGAGTCACTGTTTCAACGAGGAGTGGGTAGGAGTCCGGGACCCCCACAGTGATCATCCTTTGCTCTATAACTTAGTTGTCCCTTTTGAACCTAGGACCAACTAGGTTGGGTATTCACTATAGAACTTTTCAATTCACGGGCTTTAGTCCCATTCCTCGTGACAACTTCTCCAACAATTCTCTATCCAATGCCTTGGTTAGCGGATCCGCTAGGTTATCCTTTGACTTCACGTAGTCAACAATGATAACACCCGTTGTGAGGAGTTGTTTAATGGTGTTATGTCTACGATAAACGTGTCTAGACTTACCATCGTACATATTGCTCTGTACCCTCCCAATTGCCGCTTGACAATCACAATGTATGCATATTGGAGGGACATGCTTTTCCCAACTTGGAATATCCTCGAGAAAATGGTGTAGCCATTCAACCTCTTCAATGCACTTATCCAAGGCTATTAGCTCAGCCTCCATCGTGGATCTAGCTATTAACGTTTGTTTTGAGGATCTCCACGACACGGTTACACCTCCCAAAGTGAAAACATATCCACTTGTGGACTTAAAGTCCTTTATGTCGGATATCCAACTAGCGTCGCTATACCATTCAAGTACAGCTGGATATCTTCCATAGTGCATTCCAAGGTTTTGGGTTTTACGTAAATACCTCAAAACCCTTACTATTGTCTTCCAATGTTCATCACCGGGGTTGCTAGTATATCTACTTAGCTTGCTAACCACAAAGACAATATCAGGCTTGGTACAACTCATTAGATACATCAAGCTTCAAATAATCTTAGTGTATTCTACTCGAGAAATACACTCTCCATGATTTTTGGTAAGGTGTACGTTTTTAGCTAACGGAGTCCTTGCCTCTTGATAATTATCCTTATTAAATTTCGTAAGGATTTTATCAACGTAATGGGATTGGCTTAGCGTTAGACCATCATGTCCTCTAATT